TGGTAATTCAAATTGAAAATGAACATGTAAATTTTGCTAATTAAAAGAAGTAAATGCTTTATGTTATAGGTTTTGATTTTTTAGCTCACCTGAGCCAAAGGCTCAAGTAAGCTTTTCTGATCACACTTTTTCCATTGTCTGTTGTCGTTCCAGGTGTCAGTGTCATCTTTGTTTAAAAACTTTTCACATTTTCATCTTCTTCCAGAACTGCACGGCAATTTTCAACCATATTTGCCACAAAGCATCCTTGGATGAAGGAGATTCAATGTTGTTCAAATGAAGAGCCTTGTCCTCTTTCAAGGGGAGATAATTAAAAATTAGTTAAAATTTAATGAATCTTTCAAAAATCTTCCTCTCAAGAACCACTGGAACAGAAAAGATGAAACTTATGTGAAAGCTTTATTACATAATGAAGTGGGAAGTTTGTTCGGATCATGACCCCAAGGGATATGGATTGGCCGCAATAAGCAATCAAAGTTTTACATACAGAAATATATATATAAAAACCTTTATCAATCTTTTTCTCATGAAAAACTGGGCCAAAAGGGTTGAAACTTTTGTGAAAAGTGGCAGTAGCATGGGGCTTTAATGGGTGGTCAAAATTTTACTTTAAAAAAATGTAGATACTAGGTAACAATCTTTAGAAATCTTCTTCTCAAGAACTAGACATACTGGTAGTATGGGGCCACAATGGGGGATCAAAGTTTCACACTAGATAGTGATAATTCTTCTTTTTAAGAACAGCAAAGCCATGATTAGTCATACAGATACATATATATTGAAGAATCCTCAAGTAGTGTAGATTCAAATCTGTTGAAATCATGAACCCCTGGGATAGGGTAGGACCACAATGGGGATCAAAGTTTTACATACGAATATGTATTAGAAAAATCTGCTGATGAAGATATTGACTCAGGTGAGCATTGTGGCCAATTGGCCTCTTGTTTGCTCTACCCATGTCAACATGGCACTAGTCAGAAATGATAACTAAATAACAAAATCAAGTATGGACAGAAAAAAAATCAAGCAAGACATAAAAAACCACCAAAAAGTTTGATTTATTTAATAAATATATAATTTTTCAGAAAGGCTGTTTATGCACATTTTTTTACATTACTAATGGTATAATTTGTAAAAGATATATCACTGAAAATTCTACTAGTCTTGTCAAGATATTGCTGACTTACATTTTACTGGCCCAACAACATTTTAAATCAAGCTAGTGTATTTTGGAAAACAGTGTACTGTGCTCTGTAATCACCATGTAAATTTAATTTAAGGTTGTTAAATAGGTATATTTAGTTGTCTTTATACCTATTCTCTCTCTCTCTCTCTCTCTATGTATGTCATATTGCATATAAATCTAGATGAAAAATATTTCTTGTTGTTTTTCAGAATGATCAAGAACTTGTTTGACTGAAGAGATAGAATGAAAAGGGAAGACCCAAAAGTGTTTTATAACAGATACTGTGAGAGTATCGGGTATTTGATTTTGTAGTTTTTAATCAGTAGCAAGATTACAGAATTCATAACTGACATAAATGATAGAAAATATGGTAAAGATATTTTACATATTTCATAAATTAGTAATTTGAATTATATACTTTTGAAATGAAACCCTGTATCATTTTCACAGAATGCGCAAGATGGTTTGCATCATGGTTATGAAGGAAAAGCTGACAGTATTTTTGAGACAGCAAGAAAAACATCATTGCACACCATCAACTAATGACTCCAAAGGTGGGGAACCACATGCCATGCACGTGCAACCATTTGAGATTTTACATGAAATTACTGCATTACCTAAACTTGAGATTCCATGTCAAGTAATTTATAAATTCAAAAAAACCTTTAATACCTTTAAATCAATGTAGAACAATGAGTTTTAATGTGGTAAATGATAATTATATGTAACTATTATTTTAGGAATAACAAAGATTAGAGTTCAAAGAATGGATTCAATGCTGGTACTTGGATAAAGATAATCAGGCATGGAATCTCATCTCCCATGGATCTTCAACACCTTTAGGTTACAGTTTTATATTTCACTAGAAGAGAATCATAAATAAACAAAGGACAGTCAGTTACTACAAAGGAGAAGCATCGGAGATTAGTGATATTTTGTTCAGCATTATTGCATCTTACAAAGATGTAAACTATTAAAATTTTGTTTACATCTATCAATTAATGATTTTGATACATGTACCAGTAATTAATAATTTTGATGTGGGGTAAACTGATAAAATTGAATGGAAAACAAGCAGATGACTTGGTAATGATGTGTAAAAAACATCATTCATTTAATTAATACATGTAATTGCATGCAGTTAAAATTCAGTCAGAATTCTTGTGGTGTATATTGAAAGGTGTAACCAAGAGGGAAACATAAAATGATTTTCATATTATCATTAAAATAAAAGTCAAGTTGTATATTATACAATTATTTCTGTTTTTGAGGTCATTACAATGGTTTGGCTTGCCAAGGTGTATGCATTTACTGATCCTAAAGAAGGAAGTAAATATTGTCCCTCGATGGTTGTTGGATCAATATATTAACCCCCCCCTCCCAAAAAAAAATAAATAAATGCAATTTCAATTCTTGTATAATACCCTATGTATCATACCCATAGGGTATGGTGTGTATGAAACAGGCGTGACCTTTTGATTTGGCTGTTGGACTTAAAAAAAATTTATAGGCTGAAAAAAAACCCCTCAAAAATGGGATATGATACTGTTTTTGTAAATATGGATTATCTCCCTTTTCAGCTTAAAATTAGAACATTTTACTGGTCATGAAAATATTTTGATTAAATGAAAAGTAAAATTGTGTTGTATTTTAAATTGGAAAATTGAGAAATTTTTTTGAAATGTCAATTTATTCGTACATGCATACCCAGTATATATTCATGATATGTGTATAGGGCATATATATTGTGCTATGACAAAAAAAGGGAAATTGCCATTTTTTATATGAAACTCGTCAATCATTTTGGGAAAATAATAATCATTTGCACAAAAATGTTTTTATTATTTTATTTGCTATAGGGTATGATGTCTATGAAATTAACATGACCTTTTGGTTTGGCTGTTGGGTTTTTTTTAATTTTTTGATAGCTGAAAATCCTCAAAATATTGATATTTTGCTGTTTTTGTCAATATGGATTATCTCCCTTTTCAGCTTAAAATTGGAACATCTTACTTGTCATGGACATATTTAGATTAATTAAGATAGGTAAATAATTGTGTTGTATTTGAGTTTGGAAATGTAAAGAAATTGTGTTGAAATGTCAACTTCCTTTTACATGCATACATATATGGCATATATTGGACTGTGACAAAAATGGGAAATTGCCATTTTTTGTATGAAACTCGTCAATCATTTTGGGAAAATAATAATCATTTGCACAAAAATGTTTTGATTATTTTATTTTCTATAGGGTATGATGTCTATGAAACTAGCATGGCCTTTTGGTTTGGCTGTTGGGTTTTTTAATTTTCTGATAGCTGAAAATCCTCAAAAAATTGATATTTTGCTGTTTTTGTCAATATGGATTATCTCCCCTTTTCAGCTTAAAATTAGAACATTTTACTGGACATGGACATATTTTGATTAATTATGAAAAGTTACTACTTGAGCTGTATTTGAATGAGAAATAAACAAAAATGTGATTTATTGTCTGATTTTCTTTTAATTTCGTCTGAAATATTGATATATTTGCCTATTCTTCGAGGAAATTTCAGCCATATTTTACCAAAAACAGTTTAACTGTTGCCATGGCAACCAGACACAGAATTGATAAAAAATCATTTTATTTTTTGTAGTATCTTAGCATACTCTACCAACATGCAAAGTTTGAAAAAATTCTGAAACCCCCCATGTATCACCCCCTGCATGATTTTTACACGGAGCCATACTTAACCCTTTCGACGCCGAATACGGATACATCTGTAACGTCATGAATGCCATACTATGACGTCAATCTAGACGTAAAGTAATTGCTTCAGAAAAAAAAACGTCAAATTGATCATGAAACGAGCACCTGTATAACCAAGGTAATAGGATGTTCATGGTTTTCGTGGAAAATGCAAAAATGCATGTTATATAGTTATGTTATATTCATTCCAATAATTTTTTAATCGGCGTAAAGTAAATTTAGCAAACATTTGGCGTCGGAAGCAAATTGAAAGGGAGGGGGGGTGATTGAAAGAAAAAGAAATTTCAAATCTGAAAATAAACTTGACAAGCAAAAAAAAAAAAAATAAATAAATAAAATAAAATAAATTGGAAAATTGTTCATCGTTCAAACCCAAAAATCCTATTTAGGGGGAGGGGGGGGGGGGGGTTTAGGATCGAACTTCAGTACCAATTTTTTTTTTTTTCAAACAGTACCACTTAGCCTTCGATCTTTGACTACACTGAAACGTTCCTGTTAAAAGTGGGGGGGGGGGGGGCTAAATCCACGCCCCAATGTTCAATGCCTATATTATGGCTATCTTTGAAAAAAGGGGGGGGGGCTAAGCTGCCATCCCCCGAGTCCGCCTATGTATTCCTGTAGCTAGCATACACAAGGAAAGTCTTTAGAAACTTTTTTAATATTTTTCAAATAATATATTGATATTCTGATAAATGTTATAAATGTATATTACACATATTTGTAATAAATTTGAATTAAGTAGTTAATTGATCATTTGATTGATTTTTAAAGATAAACGATTACAATATATGTAGTGTTTAAGTTGCTAAAAACATTTATAAAATATGACGAACTGATATTTACCGAACATAACAGATATCCTCTCTGGAAACTAAATAAGTGCGTAACTTTTGATTAACAGAAATTGTTTAATAATTAACTTAACTAATATATTTGATTTAGCCACAGTCAGCAAATTTACTCAATGTGTTCAGGTAAATTGCTATAATACTGTCTATTTTTAAAGAACATAAGAAAATGTAGCTCCAAATTTCATTCATTTAAGTAACATTTCAGTTAGGACAGCTTTATGACAGACGCCAGCTCTGCTGTAAGTAGGTTTAATTCATCCGTAATAAGAATATAAATATAGGTAATAAAAAAATTGTCGCTCTCTCTCTCGCACACACACACCACACTTAGATTAAACACAAGACAGTTTTTTTTGAGTAGAGTAATAGTTTGTCATATCTGTGTTCCAATTACTCCTCAAAATTGATCCTCGTGTGAAATTTCCTAAAGCATCCTTCTACACAGAGTCCGACCCTGCAGTCCTCACACCACCACTGAATTCTTGTTTTCCTGAATCCGCCTCCATGTCCCGCGCAAACAGCACATCTCTTACGCTTACCATCTGGTATTTTAGACGGAAAGTGCCTCTCAGACAATCTTGCCAAGGTTCTGTGCTGGACTGGTATTATACGCAGCTGTCTGTTCCTGCTACCCTGTCGAAAACCCCCAATAAGTTCTTGGCAAAGCTGCTGGTGAAACTTCAGATGGTCCATTTTGTGTTGTACAATAAAGGAATCTCGATAGCAAATATAGGCATTTACTACAAGGATATTTTAAGATAAAAACATTTCGACATTATAAAAATATTCTGCAACAATTTACATTCCGAACAGCTTTAATAAAATATGTTTTGTATGCATGGAAGTGTAAGTCAAAACATATACCTGCTGCGGTTACAAGAGAGTGAAATAGGAGTTTTCTCCACATCTTTAAACTCTTGAACTGTGGCTCAAATTGGAGAATAAGTTGATCTCCGAGATCGACCCCTCCCATCGTAAGATTGTAGGTGTCTATAATGGCAGGGATAGAAACTTCACGACCCTTTCCATTTGTTGTTTGTATCTGCCTATAAATATGTAACACTTTTAAACTTTACTCCTCCTACAGTTCTGACATCTTTTTAAATATTTTGATAAACTTAGAATAAAAGTGTACTACATATAACTACTTTTATAAACAAGTGAATTACATGTATCAATTTTTGATGAGAAGCGATTACATGGTAAACATAACAAGGTGTAAAATTCTTTCAAAATCCAACTAGCCATAGTTTTCGTTTGATTTTAATAACATTTGAATACATATAAAGATTCTGAATTTTAAGAGGTAAAAGTAATGTAAAAACTATTACAAACCTAGGAGAAAATTTTCTTCATCAGTATTTAATTTCAATACAAACCAACAGAGCTACAGTCTCATCAGATACATTAGATTTAGTTACCTCGCGGAACCAGTAGTGGTCAACAAAGATACAACTCTCCTGTCTGCCCACTGAACAGCCATTACTCCAGCACGTGTTTTAACCTTAACATCTCCTTTCTGCATTATTGCGTTCTTAAAACTGGAAGGCATATCCTTTCGAGATTTGATCACTGTTCCTGTGCTGTGAGTTTGCTTGTCCAAGAGATCATATACCAGTTTGGGGCTGGTGAAAAAACTGTCGAAAGTGATATGATGCTCTTTATAGAAATGTGGCTCCATCAAGTCCATTACTGCCTGATAGCCCTACAACATATACGAGTTTGGGTGATTTTCACTTAGTGTTCTTTTTTGTTTTTTGTTTTTTTTTTTGGGGGGGGGGGGGGGATGTGTGTGTGTGTAAATTCTTCAAGGCACCTTCCTTTTGCTTGTAAATGGTTCTCTGGCTGGCTGCACTCACCCTTTTTGGTAAAAAATGCTACGTGTCTGAATGTAATTGATATACTCTCTAACTTGTAAAACTGCGGTCTGCCTAAAACTTCTCTGAGTTAATTTTTTTAATCCAAATGTATTCCAAGTATTGAATAAATTGACAAATAAAAATTTGCTGCTGTTTGTTTGATTCCTCGAAATAAAATCCCAGTATAGCAAAATATACAAAGAATAAAAAAGACGTGGAACAGAGTATTTCTACCTGTCGTTATTTTAATCGCAGAAAAGACATTTCAAATCTTCATAAGCCTATGTAAATCGACTGGCGGAAAAGCAGTTTCAAGTTCTCGCGGACAAGCCTACTAAAGTACTCACGGAAAAGCATGCTGCTTGGGTTTTGAAAAAAAAATACAGAAAAGCAGGACCACCCGCACAAGATCAGCACGCGACTTAACAAACAAACAGCCGGTAATACTTGTAGGATCACTGCATTGGAAATATAAATGAAATATCGTGTCAAATACTTTCGTAACAGTTACAACTATTATTATTCTGTCAAAAGCACTTACTTGTCCGTTCGGACTGCGTCGCTCATTTCTCCTGCCTTTGTAAATGTTTAGGTGATGAGTGTATCCAGAAGTGGAGTCTGATAGCACCCAAAGTTTGATCCCCCATCTGTGTGCTTTCTTATTTGAGATGTATTGCTTGAGTTGATGCCTTCCTTTAAACCCTACAATTCTTTCATCTACGCAAACATCCCGGTTAAGCCTTTATTTGAAAAAAAAAATGAAAATCCTAACAGGATAAAATACAAGTGTCAACAGGAAGCTCTCATTTGTAAGTTTTACTGAATTCTCTAAAAGAAAATTTAAAAAAAAAACACACATCTGACTTAAAAGTGGGGGATAACTGAAAAAGTCATTTCGATTCAGGACAATCACATGACTGTGTTCAACATTAAAAATTTGTCGTTCAAATTTTTATATATGTTTATGTTTATTCACCAATCAAGGGCCCCCAGGAAGTATATACAATCATTTCACATTTAAATAATATTGAAATATCATAATATGTTAGAATTTTAATCATTTCTACCAGAGGCACAAATGGAAGATGATTGTACAAAAGCACAAGTAAGATACTCGTGAAAATGCCAGTTTTGTAACATATCCGCAATTGTCTGAAACTGGATCAATAATATTTAGTGAAAAACTTACATATAGAAAATTATAATAATAATAGCAGCACAGCAGAAAGAGGCTGGATACAGAGATATATGTAAGAAAATTCTGTTCACATTAATTTATAACTTCAATTTGCTTATTCTCCTCGTGATAAAAAAAAAATTATGCTATATACATGTACATGTACATGAAGTATAATGAAAACATACTTGTAATTTCGGCTGAAGGTTTCGTTCAAAATTTCAATAATTGGTGAAATTTTGTGTAGAGGGTCATAACCAATATCACCAGGTTCTGCTGCAATAGCATTGTCATTGCAATGAAGAAACTGCAGTATGGCTTGAAAACGATTTCTAGCCATAATTTTGGAAAAATTAGGAGTTTCCATTGACCACGCACGTGTGTTACTTTCCCAGTAGGATTCATAAGTTGATTTTTTCACTACTCCCATGCTCAACACGATGCCCAAAAAAGCCAACATCTCATCTCGAGTTACAGGACACCAATCACGGAACCTGGAATGCGGACCTAAAATCATGGGGGGCCTGCTTCTCCTTGATAGCTCCTGATCGGCGTATCGATTAGTCTCCCTCACAAGAATATCTACAATGTCGTGTTGTTCATAATGAAGAAATTTTGTGAAATACTCCAAAGCTGACATCCCAGGATAAAAACTGACGGGTCCTGTTTCCTCCCTGAAATCAGGGTCAGGCATGATAAAAGAGTTAGGATCCACTACATTAAACCACGGACCTCGAAATGTAGTAAATTCTTCATTGTCTTCATCATCATCGGAATCAACTATGTCCGAATCTAGGTCAGAAGTTATGTCGGAATGGTGCGCCATACTTTACTCTGTTTATTACAACGCTAGCGTAATCACTCCTAAACTGACGTCATAAAGTAAGAACGTAACGTAACGTAAGAAAATATGACGTCATATTAAGACCAGTACATATACAAAAATAAAGTCCTATACTTGTGTTAAAATATAGATATTACTGTGTTTAATTACACGTAAGATAAATGGTTAATAAAAGAAAAAGTAAAACATTTATTGAAAAGCGACATTTTTGTCGGTTTGGCGTTGACACAGTAAACGACATTTATGTCGCTTTGGCGTCGAAAGGGTTAATGGCTCTTCAGACAGTTACAAAATGAATATGAAATTGCTTAGTAACGTTCATAAGCACGACGTCAATTATTGTCCTTTGTGACGTCATAATAACGTTAAAAGGTAGCATCATAATTCGCACAGTTACAATCACTTGTAATTCAAAAACAAATAGAAAATTAAATAGAAAATTAACTCTGAAGCAATTATTTTCTGTTAAGTTTTGGGTTAAATAATTTAATAAAGTAGTCCTCCTTTGCTACTCTGGATATTTCACAGTCATTGTGCATTTTATAAAATGGAAATATTTTAAAATTGCCTTTCCCACAGGTAGCAAAGTGCTCACTGCACGGCGTATTTCTTATGTCAGGGTCCCGAATTTGTTGTTTATGGACTCGCACACGTGCGTTCAGTTTGCTGGTTTGTCCTATGTAGTATTCATCACAAATGTTATTTATTGCATAACCTGTCCAACCTGTGATGAATACTACATTTTGTAACTGTCTGAAGAGCCATTAAAAGGCAGAAAGCGCTTACAGTTAAAATGATTATTCGAGTCTTGTGATTCTTGATTTTTTCATTGGATATATATATATATATATATATATATATATATATATATATATATATATATTTGTTGACTTTATTCCATACCTCCCTGTGGAGAATCGGGCCATGGATGAACCCTCTCCATTCTGATCTATCTTTGGCTTTGACGATAGCATGACTCCATGGCCACCATATAAATACAAGTTACTTAGCATTTCCTTTTCCTTTCTACGGTTCTGTGTCCTTTGGCCTTCCTCGTCTCCTCCTCTGGTGTCCAATGATATTCTGGTATGACTATCTGTTCTCATTCTCTGCACATGTCCTATCCATTCCTATCTCCTGGTTCTTATAATTTTTCTGATGTTATCCACGTTTGCTAGTTCTCTTACTCTTTTATTGGTGATTTTCAATGTCCTCATTGTCTTTCTCAAACATTTATGGAGTAAGGAGTTAAGGAGTTTTTCATTTCCTTTGTTTATCTTCCATGTTTCAGCGCCATACAACAAAACAGATATTACGTTTGACTTGAAGATGTTCAATTTGGCTATTCTAGAAAGTTGGCTGTTTGACCATATCTTGTAGAGTCTGTTAACGGCTCCTCTGGCATGACTCCAGACTTCTCTGTATCTCCCTCTCCGTCCATCCTTCTTTACTCATAGTTGTTTCAAGATAGACAAAGATGTCACTGTCTTCTTTCAGACCTCTTTTGATTTATATCAATATTTGTTGAAATCACTTCAGATTATTTCCTTATGATTAGAAATGGCCAAACTTGGGGCACTTGTGTTTGTTCAACATATGTGTGTGTTTTGTATTCATGTCTTTTGTAAAACATGAAAGCTAAATATTCTATACTTTCTGTAACATAACCTTGTCTTTTTGTCTTAAATGAACTGATATTATATACTCACATGCAACATGAAACAAGAATATCAACAATATCCTTTAGAGTCATTTTCGCAAATTCTATGATCGATACAGTGACCTTGTCAGCAAAAACAATCTATCATTAAGCCAAATGTTGACTGAAGTTTCTCGCACAAATTGTAAGTTCATAGTTTTCACACTGAATTGCCTACAGATTTTTCCGTTTGTCCGATCATGACAATTAATAAGAAGCGCACGGCGGATGTGTCCGATCGAAAGGGGATGCTTACTCCAACATGGCACCTGATCACACATTTGATGTTTTTAGAGTTCCGTGTTTGCTCTTCTCCAAATATGTATTGTTTCAATGGACTTTTGAGCTTTATTACTGATCGTTATCTTCATATTTCATGCATACATTAGTGATTAGAGGTTAACTATCTGATTCGAATGTTATGGTTCTTGTTATACTGGACTAAAGCATGCAATCAATTTATGTTTATTATTATTATTTTCTATTACAACTCATTTGATTGCCATAACTCATGAAATAAACCGTTATAAATAAACATCAAATGGAAATAATTTTTGACAAATACGAGAGATATATTTGAATTAAATTATAGCAGGTCAATTGGTAATAAAATAGATGATAATGGTTGAAATAACAGCTGTGACATTTGTAAAGACATGTCCTAATAATTCATCCAATTTTCTGAGAACATGTGGCACATTCAGATTACATGGACGCACTGAAACAAAGCCCGTGAACAATAGCCTAGAGTATGGAAGTCAAAAGTCTACTGGTATTCAAGTTACTGGTGTTTTTTGTAGCATACACAAATGCAGGTTAGATTTTGTCGAATTTCATGGATTAATCAATATGTAAGTTGGGTGAATATCATTTGTAAACAAAAAAAATTGATTGGTTAATTTTATCAATTTATTGAAATCATTGAAAAGAAATTTACAATGCATATATCTATATCTATATCTATCTATCTATCTATCTATCTATCTATCTATCTATCTATCTATCTATATATATATATATATATATATATATATATATATATATATATATATATATATATATATATATATATATATATATATATA